ATTGGACATGCCACCATATGGAAACAATAGAGAAGGCCAATGCAACAATTCAAGCTCCCATCTCCATCATATATGAATTTAAAAATGTGAACTTTAACTTCCACCATGTAGCAAAGTTCCAGGCATGCCAATGAGTGCATAAGACAATGGACAACTAAATACTGCACTTATGGTTATAGGTAACCCAAAAAAGCCTTACAATGCTTTTCTTTTGTACAAAAAGGACAGAAGGCAGTTATATACGTAGTGTTTTTCTGCTTAAAGGATCACGTATCAGTTAGACAGTAATAAAAAAGGGGAATTATAAAGTGCCTCTTCAAAAAACACGTGCCCCTTTCCAACTCCTTAAAAAGTCTGGCCAATTTACCAGGAATGCATACCCAACAAAAACACTCACCGAAAGCCATGGCATTATCTGGCCGTGACTGAAGAGCTCGTTGATAGCATACTATAGCTTCCTGTGGCATTCCCAATGCCTGTAAACACAAAGAAGACTCGTCTCTTTCCGGTTCTTGACTTGGATTGGCACCTACACAACTTCCACAAGCAATTTCACAAGCTTACCTTGTAAACATTTCCCAAATTCAAATAAGCATCCGAGAAGTTTGGCTTCAGCTTGACAGCTTCCTGTATGCACCACAAAATACAGTAAGAAGGGCACACATGAAACAACCAACCATATCCAAAGATAAACCAAAACACATTAGTATCACTCCTGCAGCCAGTCTCCAAAGAGCTCAGATTTCAACTAAAATAGTCTGACATATCTACCTTGTAGTACTGCAAGGCCCTGTTATAATCTCCAGCCTCCATAAAAAGACCAGCAAGGTTGGACCATGCAATTGCAAAAGTGGGCTGAATGCCAAGCGCATCTAAGTAACAATTGTATGCCTGACCAAGAAGAGATAAATAAACAGACTTCAAACTAGGGTACGATCAAAACAAAAATGAGATCACAAAGAAGCCTTATCGCACTGTTGGGTTATATAGATTTAACACCATTATTTTTTATCAAAAATCCATATTTCTTTTATTCCTAGATTACAAAATGTCCTTTATAATAGTTTTTTCCAACTCATGTCTGGTCTTCGCTGTCTTTTAATGTGAGTAATCTCCTACCTTTTACACATAAAAAAAAAAGTATCCTATAAGCATCTCCAGATTATGTTAGGTGTATTTCCTTGATATTCTCAGTAGTGGTATTAACATCACATGTTTCCTATATTTCACACACTCTCTAGTCTGTGAGCCTGGACTTCCATCTGAACATTCCCATTTATGGTAACTTTACTACTTGTGCCTCTTCATATTTAGTCATTTAGCAATTAGCATTCAACTAGCAGTTCTATGATATTTCAGATGGAATATACAAATCCAGTCTTTGTATCTAGAGCCAAACAAATAAAATTCAGCATACATCATCTAACCAGAAAACAGGGAAAATATATGGAAACCAGGAACTTTGTGGACAAACCTGGAATCATAGTTTTCCCACCAAAAAACATAGGTAAATGAAACAAGTAAACACAAAAAAAGGAAACAAGTGTAAGGTCATTGTAGCTATAATACCTCTTGCATTAATCCTTGCGCTTTCATCAGATTCCCAAGGTTACTATGAGCATCAACCTAAGCAGAGACAGCATCAATATAGATAGAAGAAAAATTATACCGTAATGAACAAACAGCCAAAATCACAAATGGAAATATACCAAGCGAGGATTTAGAGCAAGAGCTTGGCGACAACATTGAGCAGCCTCAGTTAGCCTTCCTTTTCTCATGTAAGCACTAGATAAGTTCGACCAAGCATCAGCAAAATTAGGCCGAAGCTGCAATCAGAAGTTTGCAGAAAAGGCAGTTATTTATGGAATAAAGGTAGATGACAGTTACAAGTGTTCGCACTGAACTTCCTCAACCACTTGTTTGTCATTAACGCATTTTTATTCATTTCTTATGTTTGGGATAAATATAGCTGAGGGGCAGCCAAGCATTAAACAGTGTTATCAATGGCGGAGGGCGGAATGGCGGTAGGCCAAAATTTCTCCATGGCGGACTATGGTGCGGCCTAACTACTATCCTTTACAAATTTAGCATGGCAGTTAGGCAGAAATCCGCCATGGCCGCAATTTGATAACACTGGCATTAAATATATAAAACATACCAGTTACCCTAGGGAAGAGACAACCAAGAAACCTTAGAAACCTAATATTTTATACAGAAAAGTGGAAGGACCCTTTATATTGAACTACTCACAAGAACAATATCAGTATACTTCACAGAGCAGAGACCTCAGGATAAAATTAAAATGCAGCAGAAACACTCTCATTGTGTTTGATTGACACTCATGAATCATGATACCATCAAGTGAATGCATTTTTTTTTTTCTACGACAGGTGCCTTTAAGCCAATCACCGCAGAACAACTCAAAGTATAAACGATGCTTAAAAAATATTGTTAATTAAAATTGCATGAAGCTAACCACAGATCATCTATTACAGGCAAGAAACTAATAATTTCCAACCAGTCGGCCATATGCAAAATCACAACATATCCTAAGATCATTTTCTGAAAATGATAGGGAAGAAAGCCCTAATATGTAAAACATCGAATATTCTAATCTAAGTCCGCAACATTCATCAAAATCTAAGTCAGACAAATGGTCTCCAACCTAGGTGAAAGCTCTTGAAATACTGAGGAGACTAAAGATGCAAATAAAATAAAGACTTTCGACGTTCAAGCATAATCGCAAAAGCAAATGACACTGCATTTCCCTTTCATTTCAGTGAAATGGGAATATATATATGTGTGTGTGTGTGTGTGTGTGTGTGAGTGTGAGTGTGAGTGTGAGTGTGTGTAGAATCATATTACTACAACTTATAAGTTTATGGTACACGCAGACAAACCTCAATAGCAATCAAGTAATAGCGAATGGCTACATCAATATTCCCTTTCTCCTGGCAGAAAGAGAAAGAGCAACATATTACATGTCAGTTTCTCTAGGGTAAAACTAGCAAGAAACTTAACATTTGAACATCAGAGAATAGTACCTTCCAGGCGTTGGCCATATTTCCATAGCACTCAGCAAATTGTGGATCAATTCGAAGAGCTTCTTCATTCTTCGCAATGCACAAATCAAAGTCTTGCAACTAAAATTCGAACAGTACAAATGTCAGCCTTAAATTCTTGCATGTCAAAGTCGAATGCATATTTATCAAAAAGAAATAAAGCAGCAGCAGCAGCAGCAGCAGCAAGAATGCGAGTTAGAAAGGCATATCCAATCAATGAGTAACCTGATAATAAACTGCACCCAACAAGAGAAGGTTATCCGTGCGGCGTGGATTTCGCTCATATACAGTCTTGCTATGTTCTAGCGCCTGTTTATAGTTCCCAGCTTTGTAATTTTGGTGGGCAAGGTTCAACAGCATGTCTTCATCAACTGAATTAAGAATATAAGAAAATTACACTAAATCATCAAGACATTTATAGTAATAAAATAAAGTGTATGAAATACAATTTGCAATCATCACATTAAAAAACATAGCTACAAATTGCTAGCCAAGGAAAATAGTTTATTCATAATTGTAGGAAACTCCGCCTATGTTGGTCTCAACATAGCAGGTCCCAAGCCCTGGTAAAGGAGGAGGGTTGTGATAGGCTTAGCGAGCCAACGTAAAACCTAGCCGTTCTATGGAGATGAAACACATGAGAAATTCGTTGGGGCGTAACCCTCTTAGCAACGCGCCATATCAGAACCCGGGTATGGTGTCAAATGGGCAAGGGCCGGGTCGTCTCCCCCTTGAGGACGCGCCATGTCGTGGTTTGCGCATGGTGTTAAGTGAGCAAGGACCGGGTCGTCACTTCCTTAGTGGCGCGCTACATCGGCGCCCGGGTATAGTGGAAAATGAGCAAGGGTCTTCGCATCTCTCTCGACGGGTGCGAAGGGCAAGGAAGCTAGTCGAACCAACTAGGATCCGTATAGGTAGCTGGAACGTAAGATCCCTAACGGGTAAACTACGTGAGCTAGTCGATGCAACTACTAGGAGGCGTGTAAATATCCTATGCGTCCAGGAGACAAAATGGAAGGGACAGAAGGCGAAGGAGGTGGAGGATACTGCTTCAAGCTTTGGTTCACTGGGGCTTCATCGAGTAGGAATGATGTAGGCATCTTGATCGATAGGAGCCTTAAGGATGGAGTTGTAGATGTTAGAAGGCAAGGCGACCGGATTATCCTAGTCCGATTGGTAGTTGGAGATTTGACCATGAATGTGATCAGTGCCTATGCCCCTCAAGTAGGTCTTAGTGAAAGCGCAAAGAGGCAATTCTGGGAGGACCTGGATGCCTTGGTTAGTACGGTGCCTGCCAGCGAGAAGCTCTTCGTAGGAGGAGACCTAAACGGCCATGTGGGTGCGACTACTGTAGGTTTCGAGAGAGTGCACGGAGGGTTTGGGTATGGTAGTAGGGACGAAGAGGGGGAGGGTGTGTTGGACTTTGCGATGGCCTACGACTTGTTGATAGCGAACACCCTCTTTAGGAAGAGGGAATCTCACCTAGTGACCTTCCATATTGGACGACACTCAAGTCAGATTGATTTTATCCTTGCAAGGAGGGAGGATAGAAGCGCTTGCGTAGATTGCAAGGTGATGCCTGGAGAGTGTGTTGTCCCCCAGCATAAGCTGGTGGTGGCAGATTTTCGATTCCGAACACGTGTCCACCGGAACAAATGTGCCAAGACCGTGAGAACGAAGTGGTGGAAGCTTAAAGGGAAAGCAGCGCAGACGTTTAGGGATAGGATGCTAGGTGAGGGGCCTTGGGAAGAAGGATAAGGTGCAGATGACATGTGGTTAAAGATGGCAACATGTGTACGGAAGGTGGCTGCAGAAGTACTTGGTGTGAGTAGGGGAGGCAAGCAGGAAGCGAAGGACTCTTGGTGGTGGAATGACGAGGTGCAAAGGGCTATTCAGGAGAAGAAGAAGTGTTTCAAGCGCCTCCACCTTGACAAGAGTGCAACCAACATTGAGAGCTATAAAATAGCGAGAAGGGCTGCAAAGCGTGCCGTGAGTGTAGCAAAGGGTCAGGCCTATGATGACCTTTATCAGCGCCTAGGCACGAAGGAGGGGGAGAAGGACATTTATAGGATGGCTATGATTCGGGAGAGGAAGACAAGGGACATCAACCAAATCAAATGCATTAAGGATGGGTCGGATCGGCCACTGGTGAAGGATGGGGAGATCAAGGGCAGATGGCGAGAGTACTTCGACAAATTGTTTAATGGGGAGAGTGAGTGTCCTACCCTGGAGTTGGATGACTCATTTGAGGATACCAATAGACGCGTGGTGAGGAGAATCCGGGAGGCAGAGATCGGAGAGGCTATGAAGTGGATGAAAGGAGGTAAAGCAATGGGTCATGATGGTATCCCCATTGAGGTGTGGAGATGTTTGGGCGCCAGAACGTTAGCATGGCTAACTAAACTTTTTAACCTCATTTTCCGGTTAAACAAGATGCCTGATGAATGGAGGAGAAGTACTTTAGTACCAATCTTCAAGAACAAGGGAGATGTTCAAAGTTGTGGTAACTACCGTGGGATTAAGTTGATGAGCCATACGATGAAGCTCTGGTAGAGGGTTATCGAGCATCGCCTACGACGAGTGACGAGTATGACCCAAAATCAATTTGGGTTCATGCCTGGAAGGTCGACCATGGAGGCGATTTTCCTAATACGACAGTTGACGAAGAGATATAGGGACCAAAAGAAGACTTGCACATGGTCTTTATCGACCTTGAGAAGGCTTATGACAGAGTACCGAGAAATGTCATGTGGTGGGCCTTAGATAAGCACAAAGTCCCATCTAAGTACATTACCCTCATCAAGGATATGTACAAGGATGCGATGACGTGTGTCCGAACATGTGGGGGCGACACCAGCGACTTCCCAATTAAAATAGGACTACACCAGGGGTCAGCATTGATCCCTTATCTATTTGCCTTAGTGATGGATGAGGTCACAAGAGACATACAAGGTGATATCCCTTGGTGTATGCTCTTTGTTGATGACGTGGTGCTAGTTGACGAGAGTAGAGCAGGGGTAAATAGGAAGTTGGAGCTGTGGAAGGACGCGTTAGAGTAGAAAGGCTTCAAACTTAGTAGGACGAAGACCGAGTACATGACGTGCGCTTTCAGCATGGCTTCACATGATGATGGTTACGTTACCCTTGACGGGCAAGTGGTGGCCAAGAAGGAGACTTTCCGGTATTTGGGATCGATGCTACAAAAGGATGGCGGCATTGATGCTGATGTTAGGCATAGAATTGCAGCCGGCTGGTTGAAATGGCGTCAGGCGTCGGGCGTTCTCTGTGATAAGAGGGTTCCACAAAGGCTAAAAAGTAAGTTCTATAGGACGGCGATTCGCCCGGTGATGCTATACGGTGCTGAATGTTGGCCTACAAAAAGGCAACATTTCCAACACCTAAGTGTAGCAGAGATGCGTATGTTGCGTTGGTTCTGCGGCCACACAAGAAGGGATAGAATCCAGAATGAGGATATTCGAGATAAGGTCGGGGTGGCTCCAATTGAGGAGAAATTGGTTCAACATCGGCTGAGGTGGTTCGGACATGTCCAACGGAGGCCTCCTGATGCACCGGTGCGTAGGGGAGTTCTACAGCGGGCCGAGGATGGTAAGAGAGGTAGAGGTCGGCCTAAACTCACTTGGGAAGAGTCGGTTAAGAGAGACCTTAGAGATTGGAATATCTCCAAGGATTTAGCGGTGGATAGGAGCGCTTGGAGGCTCGCTATCAACGTGCTAGAACCGTGACTTTTGCTCCTTCCTCTCTCTTTCTCTCTCTCTCTCTCTCTTTCTCTCTCTCCTGGAGCCTACCCCGACTTGTTTGGAACTAAAGGCTATGTTGTTGTTGTTGTTGTTGTTGATAATTGTAGATTACTCTATCCACATGTGAAATATGACTTGGCTTCCATGATCGAATAACAAATATCTACAGCAATTAGTACTTCCAGCACATCCTAAGTGGACGAAGAGAACATTTGATAAAAACTGATTCTGAAAACTGAAATAAGCGCTGCATTCTGAAAATTCAAAAGCAATTTATGAATGAACCTTAATGCTCATCATACTAATATTGTTTGAGAAAAATGTAAAAATGAGTGATAAATAAGGTATATCCACTTATGCTAACCACCTTATTTACACATGAAGTTAGCATTTTTTTGTTTTTTCTGATCAAGTTACACAAATACAGCACCACTTTAAACTTTCCGTTGATAAAAATTAATTTATCAAACTACCAAAACTCCTAATTTTTGTCTTAATAATTCAGTTTAAGCAGTTTTTAACATCACTCCCTGTTCAGCTTCCCTTCAAAAATTATCAATTGTTTACATTATCCAGAAAAAAGGAAGTAAATATTAAAACATATACAAAATGAAACACTAATATATTGCACATAAAGTACATTTAATATCATACAATGCAACTTTCCAAACATATTTGTGCAGGTTCACCTGTAGTTATGACCCAAACACAGAAGGATCTATACAGAAGGAATCACTCAAAGGTGGAATCATCACATCTGCACTCTTTTCGTTTTGGCAATGCATGAGAAACATATACTGTCGCATTACAATCACTAATAAAATAATGTCTAACCTTCTAGAAGAATACAGTACTAAAGTTACACAACAGAAAACTTGCCCATTGTTAACCTAGCTGCAAGAAAATACTTGTATGCAGAATTAGTATGATACATGACCTAGCATAGTAGCTACATATTCTACATCCACACATTCGACGGCATGCTTTCCAGAGCTTTGGGTGGTGACATCCTTTAATATACGACAAACTAAGACCAAAATAAAGCATCTCAATAGAGAAATAGCCACTACATTTGATAAAAAATAAAAAATAAAAAAAAAGCTCAATAAATATTTCAAATCCACACTACCAAGAGCAGGCTTTACAGGACCAATAAAAAACATCTTACGATCGTCACTATATTTGGTATAAAAATAATTCACCAAATATTTATATCCGAGCCACCAAGAGAAGGTTTTCCAGGACAAATAGACATTTTGAAACAGGCCAGCGGGGCAGGAAGTGGCGGTGCAGCCCGCCAAAACCCACCTTTTAGGTTGACCGGCCTACGAAAGGCCAGTCCGGCCACAGCCTCTGGCTTAGGGCTAGGCGGGCTGATCCGCCCCATAAAGAAAATAATAGGGACGCTGAACCAAAAAGAACTGTGAGCTAAATTTGGCAGCCAAACACCATAGAAATAAGGTATAAACAGCAAGGCAAGCAGATCATGAATTTACGTAAGCAATCAACAGCCCACAACCAAAAAAATTGAAAGATTCAAAGATGTAGCCATCAATACTCGGAGTGGAGAGTTGCAGAGAGACGGCCGGATGGGAATCGGGGACTCCGATTAGCAGCTGCGCCGGGACGGAAGTGGTGCGCGAGCGGCGAGCCGGCGAGCCAATTTGCAGAGCACCGGACTGAATCGGTGCTCGGTGACTGAAGCCGGGGGTAGTGATCTCGCAGCCATGTGGCCGGAACTGAGGCGGTGGCAGGAGGTCTTGCATTTGTCCCGTCGATTTGGCCGGTGGCAATTAGGGTTTTTTTTATTTTCTATTTGAAGTGTGCTGTCGGCCTGCCCATTTCTATTACACACCTTCCAGCTTATTTTTCTTAATAAAGTGGGCTGATGCTCGGGTCGAGCCGAGTCGCGGCTAATTTAACACGTCTGGACAAAAGCAAATCACAATCCACAAATTTTAGAATGACGCGTTGGATAGTTAAACGGATCAATTAATCATAGTTTTGTAATGAAAATTCATATGTTTGTTTAAGTTATGTTACAAAGTTGGGTGATTGTACCGCTACCTCTCTATATGGCATAACAACATGTATCTCTCCACTTCCTGTCAAGTATCCATTTTCATAATTAAATTAAAAGGAAAATAAAAAAATTATATAAGTTAATACAAAAATGCCTTTACTTAAAATTACTAATTAAATAAAATACTTAACTATAAATATATTTACTTAACTCCGCCTATGTTATCTCAACATAGCAGGTCCCCAAGCCCTGGTAATGGAGGAGGATTGTGATAGGCTTGGCGAGTCAACGTAAAACCTAATCGTTCTATGGAAATGGAACACATGAGAAATTCGTTGGAGCGTAACCCTCTTAGCGACGCGCCGTATCGAAACCCAGGTATGGTGTCAAATGGGCAAGGGCCGGATCGTCTCCCCCTCGGGGACGCGCCATGTCGTGGTTTTGGCATGGTGTTAAATGAGCAAGGACCGGGTTATCATTTCCTTAGTGGCGCGCTACATCGGCGCCCGGGTGTAGTGGAAAATGAGCAAGGGTTTTCGCATCTCTCTCGACGGGTGCGAAGGGCGAGGAAGCTAGTCGAACCAACTAGGGTCTGTATAGGTAGTTGGAACGTAGGGTCCCTAACGGGTAAGCTACGTGAGCTAGTCGATGCAGTTACTAGGAGGCGTGTAAATATCCTATGCGTCTAGGAGACTAAATGGAAGGGACAGAAGGCGAAGGAGGTGGAGGATACTGCTTCAAGCTTTGGTTCACTGGGGCTTCATCGAGTAGGAATGGTGTAGGCATCTTGATCGATAGGAGCCTTAAGGATGGAGTTGTAGATGTTAAGAGGCAAGGCGACCGGATTATCCTAGTCCGATTGGTAGTTGGAGATTTGACCATGAATGTGATCAGTGCCTATGCCCCTCAAGTAGGTCTTAGTGAGAGCGCAAAGAGGCAATTCTGGGAGGATCTGGATACCTTGGTTCGTACGGTGCCTGCCAGCGAGAAGCTCTTCGTAGGAGGAGACCTAAACGGCCATGTGGGTGCGACTAATGTAGGTTTCGAGAGAGTGCACGGAGGGTTTGGGTATGGTAGTAGGGATGAAGAGGGGGAGGGTGTGTTGGACTTTTTGATGGCCTACGACTTGTTGATAGCGAACACCCTCTTTAGGAAGAGGGAATCTCACCTGGTGACCTTCCATAGTGGACGACACTCAAGTCAGATCGACTTTATCCTTGCAAGGAGGGAGGATAGACGCGCTTGCGTAGATTGCAAGGTGATACCTGGGGAGTGTGTTGTCCCCCAGCATAAGCTGGTGGTGGCGGATTTTCGATTCTGAATACGTGTCCAACGGGAAAAACGTGCCAAAACCGTGAGAACAAAGTGGTGGAAGCTTAAAGGGGAAGCGACACAGACGTTTAGGGATAGGATACTAGGCGATGAGCCTTGGGAAGAAGGAGAAGGTGCAGATGACATGTGGCTAAAGATGGCAACATGTGTACGGAAGGTGGCTGCAAAAGTACTTGGTGTGAGTAGGGGAGGCAAGCAGGAAGAGAAGGATACTTGGTGGTGGAATGACGAGGTGCAAAGGGCTATTCAGGAGAATGAGTGTTTTAAGCGTCTCCACCTTGACAAGAGTGCAACCAACATTGAGAGCTATAAAATAGCGAGAAGGGCTGCAAAGCGTGCCCTGAGTTTAGCGAAGGGTCAGGCCTATGATGCCCTTTACCAGCGCCTAGGCACGAAGGAGGGGGAGAAGGACATTTATAGGATGGCTATGATTCGGGAGAGGAAGACAAGGGACATCAACCAAATCAAATGCATCAAGGATGGGTCGGATCGGCCACTGGTGAAGGATGGGGAGATCAAGGACAGATAGCGAGAGTACTTCGACAAATTGTTTAATGGGGAGAGTGAGTGTCCTACCCTGGAGTTGGATGACTCATTTGAGGATACCAATAAACCCTTGGTGAGGAGAATTCGAGAGGCAGAGATCGGAGAGGCTATGAAGAGGATGAAGGGGGTAAAGCAATGGGTCCTGATGGTATCCCCATTGAGGTGTGGAGATGCTTGGGCGCCAGAGCGTTAGTATGGCTAACTAAGCTTTTTAACTTCATTTCCCGGTCAAACAAGATGCCTGATGAATGGAGGAGAAGTACTTTAGTACTGATCTTCAAGAACAAAGGAGATGTTCAAAGTTGTGGTAATTACCGTGGGATTAAGTTGATGAGCCATACGATGAAGCTCTGGGAGAGGGTTATCGAGCATCGCCTATGACGAGTGACGAGAGTGACCCAAAACCAATTTGGGTTTATGCCTGGAAGGTCGATGTAGCGCCCCATTTGTTCCGGATTATTTGGAGATTATTATTATTATTTATTTTATTTTTCAAATTTTATATGATTATTTATTTGGCTATAATTGATTATTCGCCTTTGCTTTATTTAATTGCTTGTTTATTTATATTAACGGTTTGTTTATATCCGTCTTAATTATCTGCTTATTATTGAATTTTTATGTGACTTTATGTGTGTATATGTTATGTGATTTAATTTATTAATTGTGTTAGAATCATTAGGATTTAATTGATTTGGAATTTATTCGTTTCGGCGATTTTCGGTTTAATCGTGTAGTCTAATATTCAAACCTTTTCGTTAATTCTCGGATATCGATTTTTCCGACCCTTTTCAATTTCGAATAAATCCATTAAGCCTTGAGATTCTACAATCGAACCTCACTCTACCCATTAAACACTCTTTTTTTAAATTTTAAACGGTAATTAAAGGATAACTATCCTCATTATTGGTAATGAATTTGGGTCAAATTACTCATTTAAACCAATCATCCCTCCTCATTAAGTTGATACCGTGTAAATATGTTGCAAGAAATCTGCTCCTTCCCGATATCATCTCCCTCACTCTCCTTCTCTCACTTCCTGTTTCTTTCTTTCGATCGGAAAAACCCACCCAGCCCGCCGGAATTCCTGTACGCTGCGAATCCTCCTCCATAGCGCGCTTCCTCCTCCCACAGCCCCGCTGGACATTCCCTACTCGCCGGGATCGTTGCGAGTTCACCACCAGCGCCGGTCCTCTCCTCTGCACCGCCATCCATTCGTCGGTCTTTCTCCAGCGCCGCATTCCCGCGTGAAGGAGCCGTTGTCGCTGCACCCCTCGGGTCTCATTGAACCGGTCACCTTCATCGCATCCACCAACGTCCATTTCCGCGAAGAGATCGTGCGCCCCGTTCATCGCCAGCCGACCCGCGAATTTCGAGCATCCCGTCGCAGGTCCATCTCTCCAGTGAGCCGATCGCCATCGCTGGACAACCACCTCATTGCAGCGACCGCTACCACCGCGACCAGCCATCGTCGCCCTTTCCGCTGACGAGCAGACCATTTCTCCCCGACCTCCATTCGAGCAGCTCCTCAGCTTCCCATCTTCCGGCAACCTCTGCCAGCGAGCTGCTGCCGGCGTGAAGCTAATGCGCGGCCACTTTCGGTCCGTTTTCGTTACTCCGAGTCCCGTTCGCGAGCCGTTCATCCAACCCATTCGTCCGGCCGTTGTTCGGCTCGTTTTTCTTTCGATAGCTCGTAGATTCCCGAAGACGGGTAACTTATTTGAACCCTTTTGTTTTTCCGGTCGTGCTCGTATATCGCATGTTAGATATATATATCGTGCGTCATATCGAATCCTTGTTTGAAATCGGATTCCTTCCGATTTATATATGCATAGTTTATCTCGAGAAATACTGTCCTGTTGCGATGCGATTATGACCCTCTGAAACTGAGTATTTGAAATTGTGACCTTCATGAGATATGTAGTATATTGAGTTTTCTATATCTGGGTTTTGGAATTTCTCCATTCTGATCTATATCGGAAAAGTTATGATTTTTACAAGATTTATTGTACTTCCAGTTTTTCCCATACCCGGCAGCATAACTGTGTTTAATATTTGATCTGTTTTTCATGTCATAATGTGCTCGTATGAACTTGGACTCTTCATGAAAGTTATAGATCTGTTTTTTATCTTTCAAACAAGATAAATTTCATGTTGATATATGCTCTGTGGCTCGAGTTATGATTTTATGAAATTAGATATGCATGAGTTAGGAATTATCATGTTGGCAGAAATCTAAAAATGAATGTTAACCGATTTTGCACCATCCAAATGATCTCATATGATTCTGTGTTCTAAATGAAAGTTGTAGAGACATGCCTAAGGTTTAATTTAGTACTGAAACCATATCATTTGAAGGTGTGTAGCTTGAGTTAAATGATAATGACTTAGGTGTTGTCCATATCATATGTTAATTTTTGACAGTTTTACTGAATCAAATGTTTTGTGTTTAAACAAGTTGAATATGTGATTATTAGCCAATATGATCTTCAGAAAAGTTGTAGATATTTGAGTTTCCTATCATGTGGTTTTTGAATTTCATCAAAAGCATGCCTGTAGCTCCAGTTAGATAGTACATACTGAAGTCTGGTCAAGTGCATTTTCCCAGATTTGGACTGTGACTCAATATTTAATGTTTGTTGTTTTATCACCTCTTAAGTGACCTTATTTGCTTTCAGTGTCTTCGTGAGAATTGTAGATTCATGTCTTAGGATTCTAATACAATTTGATTCATGTTCATATGAGTTGTGTGCTGAAAGTTATGTCAATTTTAAAAACGCTGTCCATGTCAAGTTTTCAAAACTTATGTGATATTTTCGAAAGTGTGTTTTCCTTGCTTTAATGCGTATTTAAATGATTATATGAACTTAATTAAACTTAGTGATTACAGAATAGTCTTTGATAAGGCTATTTCACTAATGTAGGTGTTTGACGAGCCGACCTTGCCGCCTACCTTATTTTGTGTTTAATTCTGATCGCTACCAGGTGGGTTCATTAATGTTGAATCTACATTTATCACACTTGTTATTTCGTATAAATGTTTGTCGCGATAGTTTTTGTA